AAAAAAAATAAACAGCAGCATATTAATATGAGCTGTGGGCTTGAACTTTTGACGCAGGATTATTGAAATCTGGATTTATATCAGCAGATTATCGTCTGTTAGCTTCGTGCGTATTTTAGTTTTATTTATTTTCATGGGAGTGCGGAGAGGTAGCGGAGCACAGACCCTCCGTTTGTCTAGTTAGACACCACGTCCGATCCTCTCCGCGGGCCAGATTGAAACCGGTCGTGAGCCGGATCTAGCCCACGGACCGCCAGCTGCTTATATGTGGCCTATACGAATCAGATTGTGGACTCCGAATTTTTCTCAAGGATGAAAAACTGTTCATAATGCTTAATATGAAAAGCTTACTGCTTTCGAAGACGCTGTCAATAAGCAGCGACACGCGAATGTGATTAATCAGCAGAAGCAGCTCTCCAGTATCAAACTTTTTTGCTACAACTGTTTGCTGTCAACTTGTTTTACCATATCCTCATCAGACTTCCGGCGACTCATATTGCTAGATGAAGAGGCGAGAAAAAAAGCAAAGCAATAACGAATAAAACAGGTCAAAGAAAAGAGAGAACCAGGAGGTTTATGGACACTGAGTGGCATTCGTAAGGTAGCAATCGGCAACGCAAATATTTGCCAAAGAATCTATTTGCGCAGTCAGTGTGTACGACGACAAATAAGGGCTGGAAACAAGCAGTTCTGAATGAGAAATTTGGAAGTGCGATAAAACTGGACTTATGGCACATGTCCGTAACATTAGAGTTCGCTTTGCAGTAATCGAAATGACTTTAGTTTTGTGGAGGATTTCATCAACAGCTTAGCCAAAAAATGATTTCTAAGTCTGACACAACTTTCAGCTCCAACTTCCACATAACACTAGCTATTGCTCAAGATTGATGAGCTCTCACTAAACCCTAAATCCAGGAAGAATTCAATATCCAAGGACGATTTCCTTCCTTTCACCTCCGTTCCATCCCTGGGGAAAATTTTTTTTACGGCCTTATTGTTCTTTCGAAACAAACTGAAACTTCATTTCTTCGGGATGTAAAAAATGCAAAAAGTCAACTCGGAAAATGAAAAAGCCCAATATGGACGAGAGAGTTGTCAGAAAATTGGGTTTAGTTTGTGCAGCACTCGTTATTAATCAGATTCTGTAAAAGCTTGGCCTGTGTTAGCTGGTTTTTTTAGGACTACAGCTCAGCTAAGCTTGAAAGTCGCAAACATTTCGAAAATGGAGAAAAAATTCTTTGCACTTTGGACTGCTGATTAAATAGTGCATAAGTATGCAGGAGTTGAGCTCACTCAGGCTTGTCCCTATATACAATAATTGAAGGGAAGAAAAGTTGTACATGAGACAAATATCTTGCACAAATATGATTTTCATCCGAGAATTAATTAAGGGCTGTAAATAAAGGTCAACACTGAAGTACACACATTAACAACGGGGGATGTTACTGAGAAGAATCAAAAATCGTTGAAACAAATCGAAATGCAGGGTATCTACATGCTAATAATCAATGATTTGTGCATTATCCGATAAAGTTTGGAAAAACACAAATATTCGCTGCCTCGTATCTCAATTTTTGAATAACATTAATGCAATATTATGAGAATCCAAGGAAAATTTGCCTATGTGGAGTGGAAGAAGTGGCCTGAAGGACTGTTTACAATAATGCAGATATAACGGCCTCGAAAAAGAGAAGAATGGAAGAATTGCCAGCTGCACAACAATAAGTGTGCATGCGCTGGGAAGCTGAGATTTTAGGAGAATATTCCCTGTCCCAACTTAGATTAAAGTTTCAAATTCAGCCTCCACGTACGCGTGGTTTCGTGTACGGGCACTTAAATTTTTGGCGGGAAAATTTCATTGAACAGCTGAGTCATTTTCGTATAAAAACAACCGTTAAACGAAAATTGTTTATCTCCTCTTATGAGAAATTTACGATAATTTGCGGTATTGAGAGCACAAAGTAGGTGTGAAACAACCACCATTCATGCAGCTAACGACTAAATTACTCGTTGTTTGGTATAAAAACGCATGATCACACTGGCAGGCTTGGTGCATTCCACCCTGGGTTTTTTTCATAAGATGACAGATAATAGATGGACGAAGCAGATAATGGAATGGCACCCGCGCGCGGTCAGGCGAACATTGAGAAGGTCACATTTGAGGTGGAGAAATCCCGTGGTGCACCTGGGTGTGCCGCATGGGCTTTGGAAAGCGTAGCAACGAGTTGAATGAAGAAGTTGTTAGCTGCATCGACGGTGCGACATAGAAAGTCGATGACAAACAGCTGCTCAAGTATTCGAGTATATTCTTTATGTTTTATATGTATATATTTTTCGTATTTCATACATTTGTATATTTCTTTTTAATATATATCATGATTAATACTTCTAATTTTGCGTGTGTATTCAATCACAGATGGAGAGGAAAACTAATTAGCATAGAGCGGAGAATAGTATTAGATATTATGCTACGTTGTTGGAATCAGTGGGAGTGTTTGTGTTTGGGAGTTTGTCTGAATTTTGGCTTTAGGCATGCGTCATCCCCTTCATCGACGGGAAGTGCTTACGATGAGAGCTGTGCTCTCCACAGTTGTAAATAAGACTTGTCGTCTGGCGTTCTACATGCTCAAACCACCTTTTCCAGATTATTCCTGCTATTAGCTACCCGCGAGTTTAGCGCAAAAACGTATGATCGTACCGGCAAGCCTGATGCGTTCAATCTTGGATTTTTTAGTTAAAGAAGGCTTAAGACACTTAGTCTGTAGCTGTCCATAAAGAGTAGAGGGTTCCGGAAGTGCCAGCTCTCAAGATGAGTTGAAAGCGCTAAACAAACATCAATGACTTTTCGGAATGGCTAAGGCCTTCGCAAGCGTTTTTGTTAGAAGAACCGATAAAGTGGAATTCTCTTCAGGAGATGGAAACAAATGTGGTGATTTTCAACAACTTAACCAAGCGATGCAGCATTGTTTAACATGCAGGAAAATTTGTCACTGCTTAGCTCAAAAAACAAACTATGAAGTGCAGTTGATCAAAATATTAAAATGAGTGTTATCGTTATAAAAAATTATCTTTAGCTGGGAGAAACTACAGAGTCGGATATATGCTACGGTGTGCAGGCTTAATTAATTTAATATTCAAGGCTATCAACACTAAATTTCTGCTGCAAGGTACTCCGAAAGGAAAACAATTTCTCAAAAACCGGTTCATCCGGGAAAACTCGGAAGCGAATCGCTGCTCAGCATGTCATACATCTTCGCAAAACAATTCAGTTTGTCCTCCTCCTGCAGAACACCATCGTGTTTTTTTTTTTTTTTCAAATTTTCAACGAAGTACGTTTAAAATGCATGTCTGCTGAAAACTTGCAGCGTGCAGTGAGACGGAGGAAGCCAACCAAATAATACTACTAAACTTTTTCAGGGGCTTTAACATAAATAAAACTCCGGTAGCTGTGAACCTGGCTTACCGGTGCGATCACGAGTCTTTATCCGATTCGATTCCGTAGAGCGATGGCCTGTACTACTAGAATGTGATTGCAGTGTTGCAACTTGAAAATTTGATGTGCTGTACACAAGGTTCATGCTTAGGTAGAACGATATTCGACGGTCCATTATTCCATTATACGGTCCATTATACGCCAGTAAAAAACCACAACTGCTCGCAAAGCAGTTTAAATGCAAAGGCGCTCAGCGAAGCACGCATGGACATCTTTCTTTCAGAAAAAAATTCATTAAAGCTCTTTAAAAACTCTTCGTGAAAGCATTTTCACAAAAAATCACCATGAAAAAATCAAGTATTATGACTGTTTGAACAGTAGGTGCTGGGAACCGGTCGCAAAATTACCGGGTAGCATCCATTTGTTGAGCTTATCCATTCCTATTCGGTTCTTCAGTTCCATTCGGTTTCTTTTCTATGCTATTCGGTTCCATCACTGCCATCCGGCATCGCCTGAAAAGCCGGACAACTAATACAGCGATCGGAAAGATGAGGTATTCTTGGCCTGGTGGCATTAAGATTAGCAAAACACACAGAAGAAATTGTAGAGTGAAACTGTACAAACTAGTTGCAAAACGCATAGCTGCATCGTTGCCCTGCCCACTTAATGAGCTCGTAACTTATGAATTTGTAATAAAAATTTTCTAAATACTAACTAAACATAATCTCAATCAACATTTTCATGATAATGATATTGAGCAGCTCAGTCATAAATAAAAAAACAATAACAAAGATAGATGGCGGGTAAAGGTTGGGAAAAAGTTAAATTATGCGAAACAGTGACGTAAGCATTTGCTTTTTCAACGGATTATCCTGAATTTAAAAATCAAAAATTGATTTTTCCATAATTTTGTTCAAAACTCCTCTAGTCGGTAAAGTATCTCACTGTTTATTAGGAATGGCAAAGTTCGTAGGTGGTGATGCTCAATATAAACTGACGACATCCTTGAGCGGTTGAAACCCGACCAAACGTTTCTGCCATGAAAACCATTGAAACGGTAATCCCATCAGGAGAAAAAGCGAACGCTAGAATAGCCAGTAGGCTGACCACCAACGGATGCAGCATTGGTTGCTGCAACAGGAAAAGCAGCGAGATGCATAGACGGAAAATCACGCTTTGAGCAACAGCTGATCAAGTTATCAAAACGCTTAAAACGTCCGATTAGTAGCTACTTTTTGCAGGAAGTTTTTCAGCAAAATTTGTAAAAAATTTTCATTATTACAGATTATGCTACTTTGGCCACTGCTAACAACTGTATTTTTATTCATATCAGGTCTTCCAGTTGGAGCTTATAAAATTCTAATATTCAGTCCACGGTTTGGTCGAAGCCATGTTAAATTCATGGGTGCAGTGGCCGACATACTCGCTGAAGCAGGTCATAATGTGGTTAGTTTGTAAATTCGAATGACTAATTTAATTTTTCCCCAAAGAGGTGCCTAGACTGTAAAAAAGAATTCTGGCTTTATGAAAAAATTTTATCAGAAAAAGAGGAAAAGTGAATTTTCGCGTGGTTTATAACGCCTATGAGAAGCCTTCGACATCTCTGGCTTATGGCTTCACGCCACTTGCACATGCCCTAGTTGCCACTAATCTCCTGATTGGGTTGCATTAATATGTTCTTCAAAGCAGTGAGCAAAAAAGATTTTATCGAGGAGGGCAAAGTTTTAAAATTTTTGCGGCCTGAAGCAGTTTTTAAGAATGCTAAGACCGCCTTGACTATCTCCGCAGAAAACGCAGTGAGATTACTGGAAAAACCCACTAGTTGGGCACCACTTAGCTAGACCGTTTAATTCTGGGCCACATAACTCCAGTTAGTACCACCACTTGTTTTTTTGTTGAAATCAATAAGGAACCGGAATAAGTTGTGCGGTAAAAAAATTTTAGCTATTTCTGGGGGAACTGTAAAATATGAACCTTTGTGTGAAACGTGATATGAATATTTCCTTCAGCTATGCCGAATTTTTTCCCCAGTAGACATCAGTAGATTTCAGCGCATCTGCAGTAAAGTGTTTCAGTTTCGGTCTAGCGCAACTTATCTTGCCAATGCAACACTCACAAAAAAAGAATGTTTTGATTATGCTGAATATGCTGAATACGGGAGTTGGGTTATAGGATACAATGCTAGGCGAACTTTAGAAAGGCCATCAGTACGGGGTAAAGTGAATGGAGGCAAGTTCGAACTAAAGGAAACTGTGCCGATGGTGAAAAGAAGTAAAACGATGAAGGATTAGCTGAACAAAATGAAAAAAAAATTTTGAATTTTCACAATTTTAGACAGTTTTCTTGCCGATCATGAGTCCACTGGTAACAACGAATGGTACCAAAGGGCCAGTACGAACAATTACCGTACCGACACATCCTGAGGTAATGAGGTGGTGCTCGGACACGAGTTTCATTCACAACGGCTGGAGTCAAAAGACAGCTTCACTGTCCGGCTTACTCGCTGTAAGTTTCCAGAATTTCGAAATACACAGATTTTTGAACAAGTAATTTTGAGCCATTGATAAGGTCAGATTATTTTCTGATTAAAATAGCTTTTTAAAAGTTTTGCTAGAGGTGGCAGTTTTTTGTCAAATTAAGTCGAAAAATTCTCTGGCTACTGCTCAGCTCTATTTCTTATGTAATTAATACCATGGATATCAGGACCGGTATAATAACCGGTGTGGAGTTATAATCTCCATAATGCTGCTGGAATAAATTTATACGCTGGAGAGATACAACAGATATGCCAAGGCTTTCAATCCTGAGCTGCATACTTCCATTAGAATTGATAGTTCCGGCTAAAACAGTAAGAGACCTCAAAATGAAAAGTGTGCAATAACTATACTTATTCTAATATTCTTTCGCGTCATGAGACTGTTTTTTACCAGAAAGATGAGACAACATCATCATGTATGGGCTTTGAGAAATTAACCTCAAAAATTCGAGATAAACAAATTCCGGAGCACCAAAGAGCCGAAACAGCTTACTTATTTCGTAGTGAAGTTATCCAGAACTAAAAATAAGTGCCCCCTCACTACAGCTCCAGAACTGATAATACGTGTTGAATCATCACGTCTCACACTTCACATTTTATTCAGTTGCCAAACAGGACATACATATATTAGCATACGTACATGCGCATTTGGTACATAAGAAGCGAAACGCAAAAAATACAAAAGCACCTCAAACAGTTCGAGATCAGTGCATGCGTTATTCTAATAAACAGAAAATTGCCACTTTAACGTACAGTCTCTGCGAAGGATTGGCCACAAAGCATCGACCTTGCGAGCAGGAGTATGAGGTCAAATCTTAGCACGTTAGAATAACGCATGACTAACTGGACCTGCGAAATTCCGACAACACGGCTGAATTCGTTCCCGAGCTTGCAAGAATTTAGAACTGAAGTTGCAGTTCACGACGTTTGGGGAGCACAAAAATTCTAACAGAGCACAAATTGCACAAAATCTGATAATTCACTCGACCTCTAACTGAAGTTTGTTGAGTATTAAAATTCGTAATTCAGGCGACGTGATTTACAGTTAACAAGTGGAATGTCCGATATGTTTACACTGGCATGCGAATCAGTTTTGGAGCATACCAATGTGCTGGAGGAGCTCAAAGCGGAAAAGTTCGATCTTGCCATGATGGAGATATTCGATGGCTGTCCAATTGGTTTTGCAAAGTTCTTTTGTGCTTCAAGTTTTCTATTTTGTCCGGAAATTTCAGAGAAAAATAGAGATTTTTGATAAAAAACTTAACAATTGATTGGCATACCGTAGTCAAATGATGACCCATTGCAGCAGTAATGCCCTTGTAGTCGAATCCTTTATCAAAATCATGGCTAACGAAACCAGTCAAGAAAGATAATATTTTTTGCCAACTAGACTACGATTCTTACTCTTTCTTTCTTCTGCAGGACCTTTTTTTTGTTGCAGGGGAGGGCGGGAAGGGGAAAGAGGGAGCGGGGGGGGGGGGG